AGCACCCCAACTTTTCACACTGTCTTCGCTCATGGCTAAACACAGAGGGGTGAAAAAAGCATCAAAGAAAACGGACCTTCCAAGATTCCCCTCTGTTCCTTCAGAAAGGGAGCCCTCCTTTTTTTACAATCAAATGGCCAGGCTAGGATTCCTGACATTCCTGAAACTGAAAGAGGGAGGTGAAATGTGCACGGCGAGGTGGACACACTGTTATACAAATTGCATCAGTATTGTCTTTGCAGCGCACACATGTATGTGACATTTTGAAAGTGGTCATTGTTGATGGGTCCCAACAGCCGTGCCTCTCCTCTCCACTGTCTCTGCCAGGAAAGCTCACATTCCTGCTGCAGTGAGCTCAGAGGTGCAGGGGAACTTGGGTGGACATGCAGCAGGTTGCTTGGCTCCCCTCTGTTTGTTTTACTAAGTAAAAACCTCAGCAGGGCTTCTTTTCTCTACCTGTCTGATGGCTTTTGATGAGAGAGCCTGTTTCCCAGTGCCTCCTCAGGCCTAACTTTACAAGTTCTGTCACAAAACACACACACACTGCTTTTCTTTAGCTGTCCCCACACTGAAGGATAATGCCCTCAGCTTCTTCTGTTTTTTTTTCCAACATTGTCAATTCATTAATGACTCCTTTCACAACGTGTGTGTGTGTGTGTTTGTGTGTGTGTGTGTGTGTGTGTGTGTGTGGCCCCTAAAGCCAACCTCACTCCTGCAGTGAGACCAGACAGGCTGAAATCAGGACTTACACTCTGTATGTCACACAGCCAGTAGCCTCTTCATAACAATCACTAAGTCTGTGCCCCCTGGGGCCACCAGTCTAACCATCTCACAAAGTCGCTGCCACACTGCAGCTCAAACCGCTTCGTTCTCAAGCAGTAAAGTCATTTCTCTCCAAAAAACGATGATTTCCATTCGAATCTTTCCCATTTTTAATGGAAATTTTTACATCAGGCTTAACGGATCATTCTCATAAGGTTTAGGGTTTAAACCTGGTTCCTATTTCTTGTAGTTTTCAGGCGTTTCTGTGTACATTGTAAGTTCATCAAAATTAAATAGGTTGCATATTTACTTTCCAGTCTATTGTGCTTGTCTCTAAATTTGTTTTCACTTTCTTAGATCGGTTAGGCGTGTGACCTATGATTGATGTTGTGTGCGCCTAGTGTTTATTGTGATTTATGTTCCATGACTAACACTCACTTCAGTAATTGAGATCTGGAAACACAGAAGGGATTCACTAACAATTTGTGAGTGTTCCTTTGGAGGTCAGATACACTTGTTGAACGTCACTCTGGACAAAAGGGTCTGCTTAATGATTGCAATAGTAATCATTTCACATGTAAAACAATGCAAGTAGAGTTGGACTAAATGTAAACGGAATATAAAAAGCTTAAACTGCACGGCAGGCTCTAACGCTCTATTTGATTTCCTGACAAACAGGCTACACCTGTCTTGATTGACAGCTTTAATTCACTTCATATTTAAGAAAATGACAAATCTGCAATCTTTTAATACCAGTGGAGGATTACTGACGTATTGACGTCAGTGTGGTGGGCGGTGGGTTAGTTTATTGACCATATGCTGATGTTTTAGCACAATAATATCTACTGTAAGAATTAGGACTAAGGAGACACCATTTAATGTATGCGTTTTTCAAAATAAATGACAGAAATGTCATCTGCTTTTTTGTTTGTGTGTTTTCTCCATACTGAAAATGTATTGATTTGATCATATTGACCCATGACCCCGAAGTTTAGGTACATAACGACTGCACGCCTACTTTTAACGTAATCCACATGCAGTGTGACCGTACTACATTTCCACTAATTTAGGGCTGACTGCTTTAACAGTATCTCACGCCGGCCACCCTGTGATTTTTACAACTTGCAGCCTATAATGGCGTGTTTTCCTTCTTCTAGGACAGACTGTGCACGATGGTTATGACTCAGCCAGTCAGCAATGTTTTAGAGCCCTCCATGTGACACTTTCCTGTCAGGCACGCTCGGGGCCAGACTAAGGTATTCAACATTATGACAAGCAATAGACAGGATGGTCAGATCAGAACATTGCACCGCTGCTCACTAACAGATACAGTCATTCTGACAGATTATATGCTTATGCCTCCATCCTGTAATCATGCGCGGCCCATAAAAACCAGTGACCTAACAATTTGAGGATCCCTGCTGTTTTGCACTATGCACCAGCTCATCACATGGTGCTATTACTGGCTTTAAGATCCGTGCACAGATGTCAGGTAGGTTTATGGAAACCTAGCTTTTACTTTCCTCTCACATTTTGGTGTTTGTAAATGTTTTTGACCGTTTCTTCAGAGCAGCCTAAGATTGTATCATCCTGTTTGAAGGATTCTAGAGGGTAGCGTTATGAATTGATCATCTCTGTTTAATTAGAGTGGTGGTGCTGTGATGGAGACATCATTATTTAGTTATGAATGAACTGGCTCGTATCCATTTGGCTTGAATGAGTTTCTTTTTGTGTGGCATGTGCTAAGCTCCTTGGTTTTAGTGGTAAGGGGAAAATGAGGGGTCACTACCCCACACAGACACAAACTCAGCCTCATCACAGACTCCCCATTGGCCCGGGCTTAGTCATGAGACCCTGGCAATGAGAAAGCTCTCACCCAATAAGGCGCCCTGTGGGGAAAGCCCTGGTCCAATAAGAAGGACCCCTGGGGTAAGGCTGGGGGATTACCAGCCCGAGCTTGCGGATTGAGCTCTAGGGCGAGGGAGGGGGGCACGAGTCGAAGCACAGGGCTGCTTGGTCACCAAGGCCAGCGGCCTCCTTTAAATGGTTGCTACGGGGCAGGTATCAAACGTGCAAGAGTCGCACACAGTCACGGTCATGGAGGGTATTAAATGGCAACAAAGAGACAGTTATTCTGCAATAATCCGCCCTGCTGAGTGCAAGTTATTCTCCAATAATCAAGAGGCGAGGCACAAGCGGGACAGAGCTGTGATCACAGGAGCATGCTGCTGCAGGAGCTGACTCGCGCGCATACACACACACACACACACACACACACACAGGTCACACCACATCAACCCAGACACACAAACTTTATTTATCACTTGTACATGCACATAATTTATGTGTATGTCCCCAGTCCAGTGTTCCATAATCCAGGCTCCGTGACTCACAACACTCACTATATGATAGCATTTATATTTTGTATCAAATGTGTCCAGGCTTTTGTGCAGGCTTTCACATCTGTGTGTCTGAACAAGAAGAAGCATGTACTTATGACAAATTTAGAAATGTGGCCAATTTGACAATGGAGTTTGTAAACCCACCATGAGTATATATATATATATATATATATACACTATATACATTTGCATCAAGGTGATAAAGTTTCTTGTCAATTGTTTAATTCACTGGATTAGACAAAAGCAGATATTCCATTCCATTTTATAAATAAACAGTTTCTCATTGGATTTTCCAGACAATTTACTATATCACAATATATCGATATAAGGATATAAAATAGCACCGTGATAGAGGATTGTATCCATATTGCCCAGTTCTATGTAAATATTTGTTCTAATTAGTAGTGGGTGATTAATTCACTTTTAATAATGTGAAAAATAAATTGTGGATTCAGGTTGTTAAAAGGTGCACAAACGATAGTATAAGCTGAGTTTATACTCGACACAAGGGGTTAACAGGAGTCCCATGGTGGAAACCTTAGTTATGTTTTATAGGATCAGAGTCAATTCAGTCTAGCTTTATTGGCATGAATGTGAAACAACAATGTTGCCATACTGAGAGTCAACACTTCCAAGTCTGAGGCCATGGTTATCTGCTGGAAAATGGCAAATTGCTTTCTCTGGGTTGCAAGTAAGGCTATATGATACTAATATATTTAAAAACTTTGCTATGTTTACACCTACTCCACACTACTCTAGTGTTTTTGAACCACTGAAACAGATTTTTGAAAATGCTGCTCATCCCCTTTCCGTCTGAAGACTCCGGGGACTGAGTTTTAGTCTTGACGGGCGGAAACAGAGACTTTCATAAATGATGACGCAGACACCAATGTTTGCCTCCTGAATGGGTCTTATCAGTCACGACGTGTCCTTTCCTGATTTGTAGCGCCCATGTCACATGACCCTTTTCCAGAAAAAATACCCTAACCCTCCTTAGCCTCCGCCATCTGTGTATGAATGTTTATGAATGCACTTTGAGTAGTTGGAAAGACTAAAAAGATGCTTAACAAGTACAGACCATTTACCAAGCGCAAAGTAGATGATCTGCATGCCCAGTGTACATGAATGGTCTTGTGAGGTCATTTCTAAAGTGGTGCTAAAACACACAGTTTTACATATGTTCATTTAGCTGACGCTTTTATCCAAAGCGACGTGCAATTGCTAGATAGGTCAGAGGTCGCAGGCCTCTGGAGCAACTAGGGGTTAAGTGTCTTGCTCAGGGACACATTGGAGGATGTGTCACAGTGAAAATCGAACCGAGGTCTCTCACACCAAAGGCATGTGTCGTATCCAATACGCCGTTGGCACCTCTCAGTTTTAAAACGCCACTTTAAAATGAAAACATATTAGTGTGGAAGTAGCCTGAGTCACTGCTCCAACTGTGGGAGTACAAGTATCTCAGGTCTTGTTCACAAATGAGTGTCCCTTTGACAGGTAGACTGGTGCGGCATCAGCACTAATTGAGTATCTGACCGTTGTGGTGAAGAGGGAGCTGAGCCTGAAGGCAAAGCTCTCAATTTACTAGTCCTGCTGCCACCACGACCCGGTTCCCAGATAAGATGCTGAAAATGGTGATGGATAGATGTGCAGTCGCTGGGATCATGTGCTTTCCTTCACTGTGATAAAAGAGCCAATCCGCAAAGTCTCACATTGGGGAGAAAAACACACAACACAAACTGCAGATTGATATACAGTATATTTTTATCACTTATTTATTTAATTCGTTGGTTTCACTCTCCATTGATGATGAGTAAAATGAAAGTAATTTTGTCACAGTTATTCCTATAATCTCACTGGTCACGTGAATGATCTTATTTCACAAATCTCACATGTTCACTTCTTATGTCTTTTCATCCTCCTCCATCCTTCTCTCCCCACCAGGTCGGAGTGTGTGAGCAGTCTGGGCTCACAGTTTCGTCGCGGGGCTGGTGTGTTGGACATGGTGTTTGAGTCTCCATTCCAGCTCTTCACCTGCGGCTATGATACTTTCATACGCCTGTGGGACCTCCGACTCAGCCCACGGTACATCTCTCTTTTGTCGGGTTCAACTTGAACAGTTAGTGCAATAGTCAGTGCTCCTTAGAATTTTATCTTGTTGCCATAAATACACTTTACATTAAGCATTTTAACCAATGTTCCTAAAATATTTTCAGCTGCAGTGTATGTCAGTGAATGTAGGATCTGTTTAGTTGGTGACACCTGCAGTGCACCTCCTGCACTACGCTTCAGACCTTTACCACAACATGCTTGAGACCAAAGATAAGATTGAGGACACTGTCCTCAGTATTTCTTACTTCATTAAAATATCTGCTATGTTTAAATTTGGCAATTTTCATAAAAAAAACTCCTTAGTTCCCTACCTTGGGTCTTCTTGTCAGGTTGGAAAAGCTTCAACAATAACATGCAGACCATGGTGTAAAAATCATTCCAAGCCTTTTATTTCCAGCAGTGTGAGCACAGGGAGCTAACCAGCAGCACACTGCTGCGACCATATTAATGCAGCAGCCCTCACTTCAGTGTATGTCGGCAGGGTCCCTAACACGGTTGGGGAGGGCAGCATTCATTTTGGACAGCAGGGGTTAGAGGGGCTTCAGGCTGTATTTCGGGGGGATCAGTCAAGTAAGACAAATCAGATCTGATTGGCAGATCGCTCTGGGGACTTTGAAAGGGGTTGGGTTGGGGTGAAGGTTGGCAGAGGGGGGTCCCTCTTTAGATATCAATAATTCATATGGTCAAACCTAACCGGCCACAAAAGGCTCCCAGGGTCATCCTAGAGATTCTGGTTGTCTGGAAGTTTCAGCTCACCACCAAAGAGAAATGTTTGTTTTCACACATCACAACTTTTAACAAGTGGAATACTGCTCAATGAAGGAAAGAAATAACTTCAATGATTTTATACATTGGAATGAGGTTCAGTAGTATCCAGATATGGATGAGTGAGTTGTTCCAAAACCAAAAGTAATGCTTAGTAAGACTGGCCAGTGGAACACAGTTTATTATATTATATATTGTGATATATTAAAAGAAATCCTTATAAATATCAGGACAATAATCACCCACCTAACCCTGCTTCTTAGATTGTCTTCCCATTCAGTTTATGTTTATACGCTATTATTATTCTAGTACTGTAATTTAAATCAAAACTTCACAGTGTGTGTGAGCGTGGGTGTGTGTGCATGAGAAGAGAGAGAGAGAGAGAGAGAGCCTCCAGACGTTTCTGCTGCCCCATTGTCTGCCCCTGGTGTCTCTCCATCACTTATTGATGAGGCTGCACTAATGGAGGATCGATGTCTATTGGCAGAAAATACTTATCCCCAAAATACTTCCCCTCTCTTAACCACAGCCACCACCACCCTGCTTTGCTGCTCACTCAGCTGCTGCACACACACAAACACAAACTCTCACACACGCGCGCACACACACACACATTGACCTCCTTGTTAACGACAGTATAGGGTTTTCCTGTAAACAAGAGATGGAGTTTCAGCGTTGTCCTCCACAACACACACACAGAGATAGAAACTCGCCTGTGTTGTTGCAGTTCAGATTGTTTTAACTTTTTTTTAGTGATTTCTGTGTCTCTTACTTTCTCAGTAACCAGGTGAAGTCTAGATAGCTCCAATATTACTCAAGTTGGGGACGTGCAATAAAACCTTCTCGAGTAAAAAGCCAATACTTTATCATTACACCTGTTTGCAAGCATGAACAAAATTTTAATCTGCTCGGTTTACAACATGCTAGTTTGGCTAATAGTGAATTGTTACAAATAAGCTTATAATATTGATATTAATATTATAGCAGTAATAATAATAATAACAAGAAGAAGAAGAATACTAATAATATTAATTGTAGCTGCGGGTGTTGAGCAGGAACTTGAGGGCAACAGGAAGCCTGCAACCACAGATCCAGACCCCACTGCTCTGGAGCCAGAAACAACTGCAGAAAGAGATAGAAGGAGAGAGGAGAGGGACAAGGAAGGAGTGCAAGAATGCATACGGATGGAGAGGAAGAGGAGGAGAGAGGAGCTCAGTGCATCATGGGAAGTCCCGGCAGTCTAGGCCTATAGCAGCATAACTAAGGGATGGTTCAGGACTCACCTGAGCCAGCCCTAACTATAAGCTTTATCAAAGAGGAAAGTCTTAAGCCTACTCTTAAATGTGGAGACGGCGTCTACCTCCAGAACCCAAACTGGAACCTGGTTCCACAGGAGTCACATCAGCAGAGGGAGGAGGACAGAAAGGCAAAAGGAGGGACTGATAGTGACTGAGTTTTTCTAAACTTAACTCAGTATTTTAATCTAGTAGTATTGATATAATCCTAACAAAATTCATCCCTACTCATGACACTTTAAAAGTATGTTTGGAAATTGAATCAGCTGGTATCACTTTTTTCATGGATCCAATATTTTCTTATTATTTTCTGAAAAGGTACTGCTCTGTAACTGTAAATTACATACATCATTGTAAAAACATATATCATTTGTTACTCATTATGGGGAAAATTGAGACGGTGTTCAGTTGTTACACCTTCACTTAATTCATTCCAGTTAATTACAGTATTAGCACAAGCTCCTCCAACAAAAGTGTAATGAATGAATATTTACTTGGGCTTAAATGGATCAGTTCATTCACCAAATTCCTCTGGAAACAAAACTAGACGCAAGTAACTGTCTCAGACCTTTGTCTATATGCTGGCCCTGTGATGAGACTTCAGACGGTCACTGACTACAAAGGATTTCAAAAATTAAACATTATGACTTTATTTAAGTTTGTATATGGCATATGATTAAGGTGCACACTAATGTTGTAATCACAAGCCCTGTTTGGAGGGAAAGAGGGAGAAGGGGATGACTCGCAACAAAGATACTTGGTGTACCTTTTGCTGCAAGTCATCCCCTTCTCCCTCTTTCCCTGATTCCTGTGTGTATCTACTGTCCATGTCAAAAAAGACCCGCTAAAGTGCCACAGCTCCTCCATTGTATATCTTTTGTGGAAGTAAAGCGGATAGTCTACACTATAACATCAAAGTCACTGATTCATTTGAAATCCAATGTCCAGGAGCACAAAACTAACATTTTTCTGTTTTAAAAATGATGGTCTCTACGCAAATAACACAATTTAAGAAGTACACAAATTAAGAAGTATAGTTTAGTCAGGTTAGTTGGGACGGAAACTGGGTTGTACTTTTGAGAAGAGCTGCTACATATAAAAGAGTGGCAACATACCTGGAAAAATGCATAAAAGACTCTGGATACAAAGATAAGAATGATAAACGGCAAACCCGCACACAGAACTGTCTCTCCTGTGCGTTTGAGATTCTTCCAAGGAGCAAGCGTGTTCAAGAAGTCCACTCGCCTTTGACTTTGACTTGCCTACATATCACTTCACTGCATTTTCAAGTTAAAAACATTCAAGAATCAGGCATTATGTGGTGCTACTAAATCAAAACACGAAAAAGGTCCTGTTCATCTCAATGCATGTACGTAAACTCCTTCCCAACAGGAAGTGTGTGATGGAGTGGGAGGAGCCTCATGACAGCGCTCTGTACTGCATCCAGACAGACGGGAATCACATGATAGCCAGCGGCTCCTCGTACTACGGTGTCGTACGACTGTGGGACAAACGACAGACTGAATGCCTGCAGGTGAGTACAGTATATCCTCAATAAAATCTGCGGTATCTACAGTGTGTACTGCATCACATGCTTTAAAGGCAAGTTTAAAACAAAATGTTAAGAGCTGAATTCCAGATATTAAACACTAAACTTGCTGTTGTAATGTGATGTCATGTTTTGTTTGTCGTGCAGTTCTTTCAGCTGAGCTCAGACCAAGTGAGCAGCCCGGTTTACTGTCTGAGGTTCACTAGCTCTCACCTGTATGCAGCCCTGGCCACCGCCCTGCACTCACTGGACTTCAGACAGAACCCCATCTACATCAGATGATACACACAGACACGCACACACACACACAAACTGATCTGTTCAATAAAGCTGTCTATTTTCACAATAAATGTCTTCACCTTTTTAAAGGGACTGTTTATTCTGATCCAGCAACTTATTTACCATGAGTTAAGCTCTGTGTGGAAAGATCTCATAAATCACACAAGGGACTCAGAGTGATTTATGACCCTTGTGTGATTTATGCTCCAAAAACACTGGATCCTACATTTCCCATAATCCAACTGGATAGCATCTTTCTAGTCTCAAAGCCCAAGCTGATGTCATCAGGATTATTTAATCAGTGGCTCATAAATAAGTGTTCTAGGGTAGTAAAGTAAGCACAATAGTTTTTATACACAATTACACTGATTCAAAGATTCAAAGGGTTCAAGTGAAAATACAAGGCATTTTTATATCCAGCAGACATTTGGATTTGTCATAGTATAAAAAGGTCAGGTGTTACTAATTAGCATTAATGATGGCCCCAGTAAGCCATGACAGTGAGTGCATTTAATGTACATGCACTGAGGTAACAGAGTTCTAGTCGGCTTTCTCCAGTAAACTGATTTCTTAGATGTAAATGAGATTGGGGATAACAAAAACCAGACGTCCCCAGCTAGATTTCTCCTGGAGAAGGTTGATTTCTTGGGAATGTGAACTGGGTTTCTTCACCTTTTTCAAGTGCGTATAGACACAGACAGGGATAGTAAGAGAGTGGCTGGGTGAAAGCAGACAATAACGTGATGCATCTAAAGTCTGACTAAAAGGGAACTGACAAAGAAGCTTGTAGAAGTTGAACATTTCACTATTTGTTAACTTAAAACACTTTGGGGCTGTGAGGAAAAGCTGTGCTCTGTCTCTCTGTCTGTCCTCTCACAGCACCTTCAGTTTGCCCCAGCAGACACAACCAACTAAAAAACAAAAAACAAGTCAGTAAGCAGATTTACAACACTTAAAATAAGAAATGCTTCTAAAATAAGCATAGGGGTAGAGAGACATATCTGATAACTGATCTGCTGCTTATATAAAAGATTTAAAATAACCAGCATGTAAACACATTCTCTGATTACCTGCATAACCATGGTTTTTCTGAGTGACCTGGATTCTTGAGTGCATGTAAACAAAACTGAATGTGACAGTGAGCCAACATGAACAATTGGGGCCTCCATGGATCGGACTTGTTTGTCCAGCACATCCCACAGATGCTCGATTGGATTGAGATCTGGAAAATTTGAAGGCCAAGTCAACACCTTTAACTCGTTGAGTTTCTCAAACCATACCTGAACCATTTTTGCTTTGTGGCAGGGCGCTTTATCGTGCTGAAAGAGGCCACTGCCATCAGGAAATACTGTATCCATGAAAGGGTGAACATGGTCTGCAATAATCCTTAGGTACAGGTGGTAAATGTCCCCATGGATGGCAGGACCCAAGGTTTTCCCAGCACAACATTGCCCAAAGCATCACACTGGCTCCACCGGCTTGCCTTCCTCCCATGGTGCATCCTGGTGCAAAGTGTTCCCCAGGTAAGCAATGCACACGCTCCCAGCCATCCGCATGATATAAAAGAAACTGTGATTCATCAGACCAGGCCACCTTCTTCCACAACCCATTCTCACTCCCAACTCATTACATATGTACGCATGGTCAAGACCATCAGCGTCAGTTTGTAACGCACTGGGAATGCCCATTGCGCCATAATTCAACACAGTGGGGGAAGCCCTGTAGCGTCACTTTAGGATGGTAAGGTAAGTATAGTATCTCAGAAAAGTGAGTACACCCCTCACATTTTTGTAAATATCTGATTATATGCTTTCATGTGACAACACTGAAGAAATGACACTTTGCAATGTAGAGTAGTGAGTGTGCAGCTTGTATAACAGTGTAAATTTGCTGTCCCCTCAAAATAACACATCACACAGCCATTAATGTCTAAACCGCTGGCAACAAAAGTGAGGACACCCCTAAGTGAAAGTGTCCAAATTGGGTCCAATTAGGCCCAATCCCCAATGTCCCCCCTAAACCCTGAGCACTGAACCCTCACAGACTTTTCTGATGTCACCTGGTAAGTGATTGAGTGTAAAAGGCTGTAAGGGCTCAAAATGCTGTAAACAGGAACAGGACAGCACTTTGCCACATTGTGTTACCTTGACAATGCTGAAACATGTGGCACTTTTTTTGTTTTATTACTTTCCAACTGCCAGATTTACATGTCTTTCAGGCTCTTGTCCTGAGTGGATGAGAGGTAACCTAATTGTCAATCTACATTTGTCAATAATCAATGCACTATTGTTAGTCAAAACAGCAGTATTAAGCAAAAACTAAAATAAATAGTTGAATAAACTAAGAGTACAATAAGGTGATTGCATTCCTCTGACTTCATGTGTTCTATGTACCATCTAAAATCTATGAAAACTTTTTGTCTTACAATTTTAGCATCACCGTTGGTTTCCATGCTATTTTGTTTACCGTTCTTCTTCTTCTCTTATAAGGCGGATTTACCAAATCTTTCTCTCGCTTCCGGGTTTCCCCTGGTAACCTCCGTGTTTCACATCACAACGCTATGAACTGTGGGCAATTCCCTCAGGCGAAGTCTGCAGAAATGCGGACTTACGAGAGAACCCTCGCACACCTGACGATTTGACAGTGGGACGGCCCTAAGCCCTCACGGACTTCCCAGGAATGCGTCTGTGAGTCTATGAGTGTGGACACTGGGATTGGGCCTTAGCCATTTTTCCTTCCCTGGTGTCATGTGACTCGTTGGTGTTACAAGGTCTCAGGTGTGAATGGGGAGCAGGTGTGTCAAATTTGGTGTTATCGCTCTCACACTCCCTCATACTCGTCACAGAAAGTTCAACATGGCACTCATGGCAACAAACTCTGAGGATCTGAAAAAAAGTGTTGCTCGACATAGAGATGGCCTAGGCCAGGGGTCACCAACCCGTCGATCGAAATGTCGATCTTTGTGACTTTCCCTGTAGATCACAAAAATATTATTTAAAAAATGACTCAATCATCTTATTCCCGATTGAAGTTCAGTTTTGCTCATTACAAAATGTTTTGATTTTTTCCCCACTATGAACAAAATAACCTAGGCCTAATCTACATAATTCTATAATGTCAAGACAATAGGCCACATTCCTTTCTTATTTGTATTCGTATGAATTTAATGCAACTTGATGTTGTGTTGTACAGTTCACAGACCTATTTAATACACCGGTTACAGTTTGCCTAAATAAAGGCCTCAAGTTGGAGGTATTTTGGCTTTCTTTCTCTCGTTTCAGTTGGTAGATCTTGCCTTTAATCAGGGCTGATGTGAGGGATCTTGGGCTCAAAAAGGTTGGTGACCACTGGCCTTGGTTATAAGAAGACCCTGAAATGGAGCTGCAGCACGGTGGCCAAGACCATACAGCGGTTCAACAGGACAGGTTCCAATCAGAACAGGCCTCACCATGGTCAACCAAAGAAGTTGAGTGCACGTGCTCAGCGTCAAATCCAGAGGTTCTCTTTGGAAACTAGACGTATGAGTGCTGCCAGTATTGCTGCAGAGGTTGAAGGGGTGGGGGGTCAGCGTGTCAGTGCTCAGACCATACGCCGCACACTGCATCAAACTGTTCAGCATGGCTGTCGTCCCAGAGGGAAGCCTCTTCTAAAGATGATGCACAAGAAAGCCCGCAAACAGTTTGCTGAAGACCAGCAGACTAAGGACATGGATTACTGGAACTACAGTTCATTGAGGGAAGGATGAATGCCAACATGTACTGTGACATACTGAAGCAGAGCAGGACCCCCTCCCTTCAGAGACTGGGGCGCAGGGCAGTGTTCCAACATGATAAACACACCTCCAAGACGACCACTCACTAAAGAAGCTGAGGGTAAAGGTGATGGACTGGCCGAGCATGTCTCCAGACCTGAACCCCATTGATCATCTGTGGGGCTTCCTCAAACGGAAGGTGGAGGAGTGCAAGGTCTCTAACATCCACCAGCTCCGTGACGTCGTCATGGAGGAGTGGAAGAGGACTCCAGTGGTAACCTGTGAAGCTCTGGTGAACTACATGGCCAAGAGGGTTAAGGCAGTGCTGGAAAATAATGGTGGTCACACACAATTTGGACACTTTCACTTAGGGGTGTACTCACTTTTGTTGCCAGCAGTTTAGACATTAATGGCTGTGTGATGTGTTATTTTGAGGGGACAGCAAATTATATACAAGCTGTACACTCACTACTTTACATTGTAGCAAAGTGTCATTTCTTCAGTGTCGTCACATGAAAAGTTCATCACCTTTGTGAGATTAAGTATATGATATTTAACAGAAAAGACCAAGTAAGGAGGTGGTTGGGGTGGATGGAGGGCCAGAGATCAGACTTTCCAGAGACTGGTGTTCATTTCTATGTGAAACAAAATGTCAACATTAAATATTTTTATTTAGTCTACGTAAATTACATCATCCACCATTGTGTCCCTGAGCAACACACTTAACCCCTAGTTACTCCAGAGGCGTGCGACCTCTGACATATATAACAATTGTAAGTTGCTTTGGATGAAAGCGTCAGCTAAATGAATACATTTAATGTAAATGTACGCAAGTAATGTTACTTAACTGACGTACGTATAGTTATTTTAACCCAAACCATGATCTTTTCCTAACCCTAACCAAGTACTTTTGGAGGCTAACTCTAGCCAAACTGCAACGTTTAACAATGTGTCGTTTCAAAATGGTGATGTTTCACAATGTTAACATTTTGTTTTGAAAGTCTAACCAGACGTTGCATATTTATTGTTGCTAACTTCACTGGATGTTGAATATCATTGCTAACTTGACAGCGGAGCCCTAAACGTTAAAAAACAACACCAAAGGAGTACCCAGGGCATTAAAAAGCGACACCAAGGGGTCCATATGTGACGAGTCAGGAGTGAGAATGTGTTGTCTTACATTGCTCCGTGATCCAGTTCTGATTCCTCACACTGTAGGAGCTTTCAGCTGTAGAGAGAGGTCAGCATAGGCACTCTAATGGTCCCGACACGGCTTTGCAGCACTAAATGCAACAAACTGCAATTCATTGTATGTTCTGACGCCTTTCTCACTTTTTC